GACGGTACACGCTAAATCGTGTTCGGGCGTCTGGCCCCCACCCTTTGGTCGACTGTTTAAACAGGACTTGTGCTCGCAGACCTAGGAACAAACTACAAGCACAGAGCCGACTCTGAACGAGGTCAGTGCCAGATCTACGAGGTGCACTATTAACATCTTTCAATGACACAGGCAGTAAGCATGTTCCGAAATGGGGCAACCTAATTTAGTTACACGGAGTGTGTAGCGTACGACATACTACCACATGTCCACACACAAAGATAGATTGTGCTTCAGGGTCAACAGACAGTAAGAATAATTGTACGGGCATCAGGTCACAGGTCACTCATGACTCATGCGCAAATTAAAGATCCGAGCTGGTGTATTAGGGATTTAGTTTGTCACCGACCTTGGTCGGTGTCCAACGATGGAAGCACAGTGAATACCTGATGGGAGCAAGTTACGTGAACCGGACAAAGACCATAAGGAATGCGTCTCAATTTCGTCCGAAAAACAATCGAGAATCAAACGTGATACCAAATCACTTGCAATACACACAAATAACCACAGGTAAAAGTTTCAAGTTCAAGAGACATCGTGATATAACACTTAGATCGGATGACTCGAAAATTTAAAGTGTGAAAATCCGAATTCAGTTCTTCACTTAAAAATAACCATCGTCTTGCATTCCGGCTTTGGTGTCAGTTTTCCCTTTTTTATCACACATGTTTGTGTGGTGAACAGCAGACGGAGCGAACCCCGAGACCTGCTGCTCCGTTATGGAAACCGGTAACCTAAGCCGAAGGACTCGGAGTGGCGAACCACATAAGGCCTCCTAGTTACCTGACCCATCAATTAGTAAGAAAACAAACGAAAACTGTTATTAAGATAAATATATGGAATATGAATGTGTAGAAATGCGTAAATTCAGGAGTACCACGAATTACAACGCTCGGTCCTATCAGTGTCTTTAGACATTGATCAGGACTATCACGGGCTACCCAGACGAGAAACTTCACTAAATAATTATGCTAGCCAGGGTTTGGATATCCTCATGCCCGGTTGCAATCTAACGACCCTTAGCCTCCTTTTGATTATCGCCTACCCAGACAAAAGTCAAACGTTGAATAAGCTTACCGGGTAATACATGTAACACAAACCAAATCTGGTAACCCATGTAGGCCAAGTACTTGCACTAAAGCAGGAACGTGACTACTCAATCTGTGTTTCTGTATTGGTTGTCCGGTTATTCAGCCATAATCATAAATAATACTGAGCAGCCGTTGACAGTCAAATACTTTCAGTCTTTGTTGATTTTGGACACCTAAAAGCAACGTCCCTGTATTGCATAAGCAGCTGAATTGTTGCAAATCGCACTCAACAGGCAGCCGGATGTTAGGGGGATGCCGAAAATGTCCCAAGTTGGCAAAAGCCAGATGAGTCGTTCGCATAAGACACTTCGATTGTGGTTTGTCCGCCTGGAGAGATGTAGAGGCTGCAGGGCTTGATCCCAACTCGTTTTGTCATCGATAATGGCATGGATGATCACAAGATAATTAATTCCGTTTTCAAAATGCGCGGCACACACTTTGATAGTAGAAAAAATGTCCACGTTAAATCAACGAAAACATTTACAAGTAAGAATGTGTTCTATCATTCGAGCGACCGGCTGCGTAACATGTTTTCCATGCGGATCTCAAATCAAGAGAGAAGTAGAACAAATAAAAGAAGTCACATAGGGACCGAAAATCCATGTCCAGGCAAGGATATGTTAAGTAGGCACCACACTTATTGCGAGCACATATAACAAACCCCATTTATAGGTTCGTTGGAGATTCATAAAATATGGACTAAACAATTGCGGTTTCCCGCTACCGTAAATGATGAATAAGTCACCTTGACTATCGGTCAGACGATAATTTGAAACAAAAGCGTCACAAATACTGAGTGATCGGGTTTCGTTGGGTATCTCAGTTGGAGGTTTCGGTTAAACACATCAGGTGATATGATTAAGCACTGTAAACCAGTCAAGCTGGAACATTCAATCACCTTTAAGCATCTCTCGTACCTCACATCCCAGCTTTACTAACGCTCAGACTTCTGTTTACTGCCAACCGAAGCACAGAACTGTTCTCAGAATCTGTTTTTTTTTCAACAGTATTTTCATACTTCCCGTTTTATCTTTTTTCTTCAATGAATCCTGTTGGTCGAAATGTCAGTATGTTAACCTGATGGCCGTTTTATCAGTAGAAAAAGGATTTCAACAATCATGTTGCGTCCAAATGTATAACAGAAATGATAATGATGCAATACAACTGCAGGTCTTCTAGGTTGTGTAATTCGATAGACAATAGTGTCACCGATCGAGAAGAAGCTTACCAATATGCCTTCGGGTGAGTTCAATCTGATGACCACGGTTCACATTGGACAGAAGGCCGAGACAGAACCGATTGTGGCGATTCGGATCGGTGAAACCGTCCACTGTGAGGCACGGACTGGAGCAGTGGAACGTATCACCCACGCGAGTGTTCATTTCATAATAGTATATGGAACACCAATATTCTGGTTCCTGATATGCGACTGAAGTCATTTCCGTGCCATCTATCAGCACATCGTTGAACATGTCTCCAGAGGGATAAATGTAAAAAACAGAAGAATGAAAGAAGGAGTGTAATGTAGATGACGATAAAAGAAGTGATCGCATGACAAGTGCTCACTAAATAGCAATGACAGTAGAAGACTGATAAGCCATCATCACAACTCACGAATAACATACTCGCAAGAAAATAAAAATATGAAGAGAGCACAATCAGGTACCTAGCAAAGCATTAAAAAGTCCACATTTGGAGATAGACAGGTAAACTGAGATCAGATTGACGCAATGGTTTATTCGTTTTCTAGTCACAAAGCGAAAATAAATCAAAAGTAATGTGGATTCCACAAGAATCCACAGACACTAGGACGCGTATCGTTGTTTTATGCGAATCTCACTGCCCGGGAAAAATGACCTATGATCCACACGCTCGATTAACTTTGCCTGTACGAAAATAGCCTATAAAGAGTGAGAGGGATAGTTGATTCCCTCTTCGCAGGGAGTCATCTTTAAACAAGAAATTCTACGCAGTTGTCTTTTTTGACGATGAAAATGCTAAGTTCATTCCAATTGAAAATCACGAAACTTTTCCAAAATGCATTTCTCAAGGACTAGCTAAACTGTTTTAGAACACCAAACCACTTGCATACTTGTTTTTTTAATTTCACAACCATACTTATACCAATACCTTTGAAGATATGCATGAATGTATGCATATCGCATTATCAGTTCTGTACGTTGCCGAGGAACGTAGCAATTCTATGTTGATCGTGTGGCTGAGTTCCGGGAGGTTCGTGTCATTGAGAGGACGTTTATTTTCGGGAAGGATGGGAAATGTTTCGCTTGAACGTAAAAGTCTTATGAAATTGTTTGTGGGAAATCTATAACACCGACCACAAAGGCGTAATTCAACATATTTAGCCCAGTTCACGGGAACGAGGTAAACTTGCAATGAAGCTTTTTGCGTGATGACAGACAGTAGCTTGATCCTGACTGGGGCTCACGAGCAGTTCGAACTAATATTTTGTATTATCTCGGGACTCAAACCGTAAAACTTTGAGCCGAAATTCCCCGTCTGAGCGACAGTCAACACTTTAAGACGAAAATGACTACCCAGAGAAGAACTTGTTAAACAATAAGACGATTGCACAGACCCTGATGTATAGTGATTTGTATGAGCCAACACATGGAAATAAGTTATCGGTTTTCGAAACAACTCTCGACAGTTGCATTTATTTCACCACTAGGCATATCAATTGCGATATTCGCCGTGCAGGTCAAAAGGCGTGCGATGAGTTGAAGGTTAATGAACAATCAAATGGCAGTGGAAGTGCCGATCAAATAACTTCTTTTGGAGGACAAATTGAGGCATTTTAAACTCCCGAAACCTTTCAATTTGATTCCAACGATTTGCGTAGATCGACCCTTTTAGTAATGTGAACGTGACTTTCATTCAACAACATAGATTCACCCAACGAGAATGGTAAAATGAGTCATCCCGACGGGATTAGCGCGAATTTCGAGAAAGCTCAGAACGAATAAGCATGCGAAAATGCAACTCAAACCCCAGGTTGTAACGTCAATACGGTAGTTCAAGAACGAGAACACATACAGACAAATATCAGGGTGAGTGTGCTTGTTCCAGCTTGAACTGCAAGCATCCGCTTTCAAACGCAGGGACACGCACGCGTTAACCAACAGGCATCGCCATGGCGAAACACGGTCCACGACGGGCGAGCTATACGAAAGGTTAGCCTGGTTTAACGACGTGGTGTAAGATATGGTGGCGCGTAGCGGGCGAGAGCGATGGATGGGTAGCAAGAGGACAGGTACTGGTTGGTGCTAGCCGGTCGGAGGAACACACGTTAAGGGACAGACCGTAAACCAGTCAAGAGCTGGCGAGCCGGCGGGACAGTCCAAACGACCGATCGAAGGACAGGACCACGCAAATAGGCGGGTAGGCAAACAAA